AGGATTATCGCGCTGTGCAGAAGAATAGGGTTTTGCAAGGCGCTCTCAGAGTCTTTGCAGTCATTGTTAGAGCTGTGGCGCCCGCCCTAAACCCTACAGTAAACCTGAGGATGTGTACAATCAACCCTAAAACCTAAACCCCAAACGCAAAACCTTCACCCCTACGCGTCCCCTAAGCCGCGAGTTTTGGCAGTTTTTTTTCCGGAATTCTTCAGGTTGACAGGACCCTGCAGCCGAGTAAGATTTGCTAGCTGCTAACGCCAAGCCCTACAAGCGGAACCCTGATCCCTAGGCTCTAAAGCCTGAAGCATGTGGCTAGCTGACACAACTGCGTACTGGTGCTTAAAGGAATATACTCCCAATACAATCCCTAGATGATATATTCCCCTATTCCTTACAAGCCCCTTGTAAGACTGAGCCAACTGGCAGGACAATGAGTGCTTCTGAGAGCGCACCAGGCAGGGGTATTTCCCGAAATTGGGGGTGCCTTGAAACGGGTCAATCCCACCCACGAGGAACAAAGCTTCCCCTAAACCCCCAAACCCTTAATCCTTCTCTTCGCAATATTCTATAAGTTGCTATAATGAGGTGTTTGCTTACCAAGGGTGTGTTTTTTGTCCCAAGGAAGGGGGGGGGTTCTGAGATTTGGGATGCTTGAGTGACCCTTGATAGTGTAGCACCTCCTGATTTGGGATTTTAAGCACTTGTCGGATACCCCCTTCAAAGTACGGCACCCAATTGTTTTGGGGCTTTGAATGTTGGTTTGTAAATCTTTGGCAATTCACAGGTGGAGCTAAGCTCTCGCAAAGAGAGCATCGTGCAGAACGACGGCTACGAGGTGCTCGCAATATCAAGACATCCCCAAGGAGTGCCTGAACGACTGTTCGCAGTCAGAATTGGACAATATTATGCTGCACAGTGATTTGTTTGTATCTAAAGCAGCATCTTAAGAGTGACACATGCCCGTGATTTGTTGGAGGTCATCTTCACGAATCCCACTGCGGAGAGCATAGACTTCAGGTTGATCTTTCACATCGCAGTACCCGAGAAGATCGCAGGCCCTCTGATCGGCTTCAGCAGATTTTTCTCTGTTTGCATGGCAGTCTTCGAAGAGCGAGTGACATTGAGCGCATGCAAACAGCAACTTAGGTACATAGGCACAATGTGGGTTCCCACGGAGAATTGAGATTCCATGCTTGTGGGGACCTCAAACTGCAACCTCAAATAGGCCTCTAGATGGTAAAAGCAATCCTTAAACGCAGGCTCAGGACTGTTATGAAAAACCTGCCCTGAAACCAACAGACCCAATGCTACCCCCACTAGACCGTAAGCCCCCAAGCATCCCTCCTCCAAAGGCGTGCCTGCCTCGCTGCAGAATCAGAGGATGGCGCAGTCCTTGGACTCCACTTGGAAATCAGCCACTTTTCAGAGTATAGGGTGGGTCATTCCGGTTGCAGTAGCTATCTTAAAAGGAGTTTTATAAGGGGCGATTACAACCCTGATCCCTAGGCTCTAAAGCCTGAAGCATGTGGCTAGCTGACACAACTGCGTACAGGTGCTTAAAGGAATATACTCCCAATATAATCCCTAGATGATGTATTCCCTATTCAGTACAAGCCCCTTGTAAGACTGAGCCAACTGGCAGGACAATGAATGCTTCTGAGAGCGCACCAGGCAGGGGTATTTCCCGAAATTGGGGTGCCTTGAAAGGGGTCAATCCCACCCACGAGGAACAAAACTTCCCCTAACACCTTAAACCCCTAAACCCGAAACCCTGATCTTCCCGATGTTCTGTAAGTTGCTATAATGTTTTATCTTGTTAAGGGTGTGTTTTTTGTCTTGGGGGGGGGGCTGAGATTTGCGATGCTTGAGTGAAGGAACCCTTTAGAGGGCCGCATGTCAGGGGACCCATAACTCAGAATTCCCTTACAGCCTCCCTAAGGTCTAGTGGTCTAGGGGTTTAGCAGCTTAGGGGTTGAGGGTTTAGGGCTAAGGATCCCTAAAGTCCCGTCCTTGATTGGGGTCCATTGGGGTCTCCAAGCTTTTCACACGACCCACCTGAAGATGCAAGCCTGTAGCAACAGCCGAGTACCACTCGCCTGCCTGGGAGTTTTCAAAAAAACAGAGGTCCCCCCTGCAGAAACGCCGAAAATACTTTAGTCCTTACTGTAGGCAACCCAAAACTTGCCGGTTCTGAGTAGAGAATATGGGAATATAATTAAAGCCCATATAATCCCTACAGAATATATTCCCATATGCCCTACTAAGAACCAGTAAGAAAAATGACCCAGAATTCTAGACCCAACACCACCCCCCCCCCCCTGAAGGAGCCTTGTGGATTTGCAGCACTATCGCAAGGTGGGCCCTCCTCTCCCGCCTGAATTGGAGCAGTCCGTTTTCATCCTGCTTCAGCTACCTACTATTATATTTATAAGTAGTATGACTATCATTAGTACTATTATTAGTACTGTTAGTATTACTATTCCTATTACTACTGTTCTTATTATCATCATGTCTCCTATCATTATTTGGAATTTACTTTCCTTTTCTTGTCCTATATTCGGGCTGGGCATGGTGCCTTTCCATTGCTTTCTTTGCATGTGTTCTTGTTTGAGAGTTGAAGCCTTAGAGAAAGCAAGCAGGGAGCAAGGAACCTTGGCATGAAAGGAGCAGAAGGACTAGGGTCACAGAAGAGATGTGAAAACGTGCAAGCCAAGAAGAAAGGAGCAAGATGGAAGAATAGAAGCGACGGCAGGACATGCGGACAGAGAAGTAATACAAAAAGTCCTACTGCAGCCTTTACAGCTACCAAGCTTACCACCTTCTGCTCGTCCTCCTCTACTACTGCTACTGCTGCTGCTGCTGCTGCTGCAACTAGTCGGGTCGCAAGATAATACAATCTGCCTACCTTGTTCTGTGCTGCATATGATCTATATTCATCACAGCATGGCCCAGCTACACCAGTGCTACATAAATCCCGTGTGTTTTGAACTTCCTCTTCGTCCTGTACGTAAAGGCGAGTATGTACTGAACAGGACCCCCACCCCGCCTCGATGTCTAGGGTCAATGCTAATGCATCTGTCAAGCCAGCTACACCCAAAGGGCCAAATCGAGCAGTCTTCCTACTGGAGCAATTGCACTATGCTTCACCACGACTCATGATCAGACGTAGTGAGCGTTTGGCTAAACATACAGCTGTATTTTTTCCACACATTGAATAGCTAACCCAAGAAAGTTTTGGCACGTGAGGCCTGCGGGCCATGGAGGCCCCGAGCGCTGAAGGCTACCTGCTACCTTGGGTGGGGCTTTGCTTGACCCGGGCCTCATTTGTGCCAGCCCCGGTTTTTCTCTGAGACATGATTGGACCTTGCTTCGTGATCACTGAGATGAGCTTGTGAAGCGAAGCTCACAGATGCCAGCAAGTCTTCGAGTTCAGTTACAGCGCAGCTATGTGTCCCAGGCCCCGAGCCAGGTTTAGACGAGGCCTAGCAAGACTGTGACCAGAGGGTGTTGAAGACTGTGCGAGGCCAAGTTTGCAAAGTGCGCCAAGTGCGCCAGTGCCAGATCTAGGCGCACGCTCCTCAGGTCTTGGTCCCTGATTTCGCCACCCAGCTGAAATGCGGCTGGTCTCTCAGAGAAAAGCGGTCAAGACGAGATGCTGAGAGCAAGTGACCGCAGGTCGATCGATAGCGCTCTTCTGCGGCCAGCGCAGCCAGCACGAGCCAGGAGCTTGGCAACAAGCACGTGCGATGTTTCTGGTGTGACGCAGAGCACGTTACTCCGAAGCAGTTGTCGCCCTCCTTGCAGGTCCACGACGGACTCGCACCAAAGAGCCGCTGGGAGTCATGTGCCGTTGTAGTATACACCCGGTACATTACTGTGCATATTGTAGTGCACTCAAGCCTGCGAGGGAGCAAGCCTTCTCAGGGCTGGGAGAGCTGAAGCGTTAGATGGCCGTGATCTGTGGGTTTCAAGCCCGTGTTTCAAGTCTTTTCACCTGGAAGTTGGCTGCTGCCTTGAAAAAGCAGCTCGAAATCGTCCCCTGTTTATGGTGAAGTGGCGGTTGGAAGTTCATGGTCTCTTTAGGTGGATGAAACGCTTGACGTGTTTGGTGAATGATTGTTGAAAGGCTTCATGGTCTCTCTGGGTTGGCGAGTGGCTATTGGTGGGTGGCTGTTGGTGAACGGTTGCTGCTCAGCGGTTGTTGTTGCGAGCCATCGTCCCTGCAACTCGGGCTCGAGACTCTCGTGATTTATAGTACTTTGCATACCGCTGTGGGGGCGCTCTGGTCAAGCACAACAAGTGCAAGGACCATGACTACCTCCGAGGCCTGGTCATGAGGAGGGGAGGGGTGGCAGAACGAGTACCGCAGCGCTCTAACGATTGTGCCAGCGCAAGTAACATCGTATCATGTTCCTAGTTTAGGCATTTTAAACTCACTCCGCAAAAATCCAAAAATTTCGCGACTTCCACTAGTCTTCTAGCAAAATGGGGCACCGTGCACCTAGGCTTCCCTTGGATGTGTGGCTCGCATGCTAGAGATCATTTTCTATAGAATGCTTGTGCGATTACCATAGTGTAGCTTGACAACTACTGAGGCTGTGGCGCTTGCATCGCTTGCAGTACACCTCCGTACCTCTTCTGTACGGACCCTCAAAGAAACCCTTAGCTCACGGTACTTGCATGCACTGAAGACTCCCACCACAGCTTCGCTTCCTGGTACCCCTAAATCAGACCCGTATTCTTTCGGAATCGTAAGCTCCCGCACCTGTCTATACAGGTCCGCAATCTGGCAGACAATCAGGCTGTGGCGGCATGCGTCACTGAGCCCGAGCCTGGTGCTTGCAGGGTTGGGTGACGTAGTCTTCATGCCTCGTGTGTGGGCGGCATTCTTCCATGTGAAAGTGGCCGCGGCGCATAGGGACCATGCTTTGCATCATCCCTTGAGCGCTGTCTTCCGTCTCCTGTTTTGCAGGCATTGAATGTTTGGACATGCCGAGGCCATCTGTTGCAGAGCCGAAATGGGTGGCTGCCTTAGAGGAATGGCACGTGCTAAGACGGCATCCAGGAGAATTCATGGCAGTTAAGTCAGGGCTGTTTCAGGCTCTCTTCTTGCTTAAGTCCGTGCCTGAACCGCACTGTGGCAACAATGAATCAAGGCACTTATGGCCAGCCCTGGAGGAGTTACCTGGGGGTTTTCTCAACATCTATGTGTGCCTCGGCAGTCAGTTCTCTCATGCTGTTCCAAGGTCAACGATCTGTTGTTGGAGCACCTGGGCTGAATAAAGGGTTGTAGGTCTTACATAGGGGCGCGTAGGGTGAGGGTTGAGAGTTGGGGTTTGGGGTTCTGGGCTTGGTTTGCCACATGCCAGTGGCTACACGTTGCACATGTGATGTCATAACTGTCGCTGCTTCAATTTTCTGATATCATTATTGTTACGAATTGTTATTAATATCGACATTATCAAGCCCACTCTAGACCACTCTTGTCAAGTTGTGTTGCCTTTTTTGCCATTATCATCATGATTATTCTTCTGTTTGCTTTGTTGTTTTCTTAGCAGTCTGATGGTTGTCAACATAGCAGCCACGACGCAGCTGTTACATTACAGTGTTTGCAGATATCATTTTCAAAGGTTATACATTCCAAGAACCAATAAATATGTTTTCGCCTCGCTTTTCCCAGTTTAGCAAACCTCTCCCCTTCTCCTGAACCGGCGTTAGACCGCACATTGTACTGCACAGACACATCTAATGCAACTTCTCACTTTAAATCTGGTTTTGGAGGGAGATTTTCCATCCGCCACGAGCAATTCTCTTTATTCTCTATCTACCTCTGGCTCCTACATCGTAGCTTATACGGACAGCGTACAGCTCCTGTCCCAAGAGTCACAACGTCGGTCTGGAAAACTCCGCTGCTTGGGGCTTCACCTCGTACATTTCCAGCTCGCCATGTTCATCACATCTCCCATTAGACCCCTCTTGGTCGACGCAGGAGCAGTGCTCGCATATAGAAGATCCCAACAACTTTAGCAAGCTATATGCAATCACGGAACCTTTCTAGCTTCATGCCTCCGCGTTCAGAAGTCAGAATGTTCATTAACTTCACATGCGTGATTCGTGATTTTTCATGGGAACAACTCCCTTTCGCTCGTCAAATTGTTGAGCTTGCTCGTCCACAAGAGTTCTTCGCACATCCTTACATCATGTCCGTTTGCATCAGGTTACCTGGCTGGTCACCCTTTAGCAGTCCCTTCAGCCCGGTTTCTCGGACGAAACGGGCAAATCTCAATTCTTGCCACGCCATGGAAGCAAGGTTTTGGTTGTAGAGTTCAGAGTTTGCAGCTTCAAAGCACATCTGGTTTTCGTGCCATGTCACAACAAGATTGTTCTTGGGATTGACGCTTTCAAGCTAGCATTGCTACGCTGGGTACGATGGTCATTTTTGGTATCAGCTGGTTTCTTTTTAGTGTTCAGTTGTTACTTGCGCTCTAGCTTCCATTATAACTCTGTCCATATCACCATGATGGAAGATTATCCTGTACTTTCAAGCCCTGAGCTACTTGGTGCGGGGGAGGGGGTATGGGGTACATAGGGGATATATTGGGGATATATTGGGACAATGAATACAAAATGGAAGCTACTATTTAGGATTTAGGGTTTTTTGGCTGGGGAGAAGAGCGAGTGTTCACCTACTACTTGCGGGCAGAGTAGGGGTGGTGTTCAATTCATTCCCGTTTAGCTCTTGTAAAGCCGCTGGAGGATCATAACCCGTTTCCAAGGAGCCAACAGATTCTAGAGCCCTACACCCTGAACTTGTAGGAGAAGGTTTTGGTCAACCTTTGTCCCTCAATTTAAACGTAGAAAGCCAGAAGCCTCAAATTCTAGAACCCAAGTTCAGCCAGTGGGTAACCCTAAACCCGAGGGTTTTGGAACCCTACACCCTGTACAAGACGCTTATTCTGTGAAGAGGCTTAATCCGGCAGTGGTTAAAGTGAAGCTTTTCCTGCTCCCCATCAAGGTTTAGTGTTCAGGGTTTACCCCGCAACAAACATACTGGGGGGGGATACAGGGGTACATAGGAGTAATGTAAGAATAAGGGCTATATCAGGTACATTAATGCTCCCCATGATGTGGTAAGATCCTTTTTTTTGGTTAGCATGCTTCGTATTGTGTGTAGGCATTTCGTGTGCCAAGCCTGTGCAGCTTGTGGCAGGAGCCTCATAGGCATTTTCAGTGTGTTCACGCTTTGGGGTTTAGGGATTTTGGATTTGCATCTCCCGACAGCAGTGTTCCCGCACTTTGCGTGTGGTTCCAGACTGGATTGCAACACGGCGTTCTATGAACTTTTTTGGTTACATTCTCATCCCATGCTAAACTTTTAACCAGTAATTAACCCCAAACCCCGAATCTAACTGCTAAATCCTTAAGTCCTTGACAATAAAGCTTACCCCCTAAATCGCTAAGTCCCTGAATCTCAAACTCTGCGCCAATCAGAGATAGCCTCAGCACAGGCAGCGTGAAATGTGATGGGAAGGAAGCGTTCTTAGATTGGTGGAACGAAAGGTTCAACTAGTACAATACCGCATACAGATGACATTTCCCGTTCTTGTTCCTAGTATTCTTATTGTTGCCACGATCAATGTGCTTATGTGATGTATTTCTATTGATCCAGTTCTGGGTGCATGGCGAATGGAGAGCCACTTTATACCTGAATCAGACTGTGCATATGGGGCATGTCAAACTTGTCTCTGCTGTTAAGAGTTTACGTGTGGGTCCTTGCCCTTCCTTCTTAAACAGACCTTTGGCACCAACAATCCGCAGTCCAAAGTCCAAACGTTTGGGGGGTTCACGATTAGGACTGCAGGCATTTCTCACTTCCATCCAGGTTGAGCTACTTGGCGAAAGTCAGAGGTCATATGAGGTAAATCCGTGCGCCATGCTGGAGTCTCGCGTTCTGATCCATGAGTTTATAATGCCTGCACTTAGCTTAGGACTCGTACCACTTTTACGGTGTCTGGCTTTCAGTTCGACCTCAAGATGGAAGAGCACTTTTCTGATCAGTGACATGTCAAACGCGAAAGACAAGTGGCATGTATGCCCAGCTTCCGCAAAAACTGCAAAGGCTGGGCGGTGAAATTTGTCCTCTGCCGGGCAGCAGGCGCAGTCGCAAAGTTGGCTGCAAGCCTCGGTTCTTTGCAGGATCAGCTGGATCAGCCTCTGGGCATCTTGCAAGAAGTAGGTTTTC